ATGACAAAATATGGTCAAGTTATGTTTACAACACAGCTTTATTTTACACAAAAAAAAACCCATTATAAGACACCAGAAGAAAACCTCGAAGGAACCAGAGGTGAATTAGATGTCCAGGTTCTGATGTCAAACCTGCACTATTGTCTCTGTGACATGTAAACTACAAAAACATCAAAAGTCATGTCATAAAAAAAAACTGACAAACTTAATGAAACAAAAGTAGGAACGCCTTTAAATGATAGGGCACAATTCAATTTATAAAGTACTAAATGTGTATTGAACACAAGTCTGACAAAAGCTAATGAAAGCTAGTCTACTCTGGAACATATTACAGTCATTATTCAATATAAACCTACAACATATTAATAAAACCTATATACATTATTGACAAAGAATAAGAAAAGATAAAATACAAATAACTGAAAAGAAATAACCTGGGGTGCGTTTTCCAAAACCAACTTTGGTAGCAGGTTTCGTTGAACTCTATTGGTAACTATGTAACTTGAGTTGGCTTTGGAAAACCCCAGATCAGCAGCACAATAACAACTCAACAAATATCTACAAAATTTTAACAGTGGTTGTTCGCAAATGTTTTTATGTTTGTTTTTTTTAAATATTGTGTGTAAATTGATTATCTTTTTAGCTTCAAAGGAAGAAAATATATTCAGCTGAATGGAATTTAAAAAATGCAAATGTTTCCAACAAAAGAGAGACCAGACAACTCCCATTAAACACTGTGATCCACTGTAAACTCAAGCGCCGTCTCAGTTGCTGTGGTGTAATTCTGTTTGTTTTGAAATGGCAGCTCTTCTTTACTAATATATGTGCCAGATTTGATCCCTCGCTTCCACGCACACCTCCCATCGCGCCCCTGGTTTCTCCGGGAACCTTACAATAGGGGCCTTGTAGAGACCTGAGAGGCCAGTGGAGCCTCTGTTCTTCTCCAGATGAAGCTGTTCATTTGTATTCAGTGGAGATTGGGCTCCATCACATTCATAAATAGACTTTATCACGCCTGTGAATAACTGCTTTATGGTTTCTCTGACTGTATAAAGTGTTTGGGATGAGCAAGATGCTGAAAACTAGCCAATGCAATCAGTGAATATTTCTAACTATAGACGAATTGCATGTATTTGACCTGTAATAAGGGTACAAACTGAATTTTGTGAGCTGGAAGTTCACAAAACAGTGTCAACTAACTTCAACAACTATGGACATCAATATAACAAAGAAGTAAGGAATAAAAACCAATTGCACGTACATGATCTCATAGCTACTGGAATGGACATACAGTATTAATTTTACTTCAAAGTATTTTATTATGCGAGGTGAAAGACAGAGTAATATAAAATAGATTAAACTAGCACATGTAGAGAATCAATTGCCATGGGACAATGGTCAATTATACACTTTAGTGGATCTCCAAGGCTACATTTCATTTTCAAAAAAAACAAACATTACGTTGTAAAGTATATTTAAATGGCTGTGGTCTATTTGTTGTCCCGCTATATATTTTTTCTGAATAACAAATTTCAAAAGCATTTATTTGTAACAATCTTTTTAAAATCATAATTGCTGAAAAAAGTATTACTTTTTTATTAATATTACTAAATCCCAAACTTTTGAAAGGTAGCATATGTTTCCTGTCAGTTGGTTTTTGTGTATCATCTACCGCAGTTTTTGAGTATCATCTAACCATCATCTCAAGTAAAACATAGTTGAGAAACAAACATATTTTGAACTCTACACATATTGTGGCCACAGCATGTTATACAGGAACACAACCACACTACGTATTAGACGAAGTGGGTCACACAGCACTCGCCCATTTAATATAACGTCAATCTATTTTGGTCTTGTGTTGGTTTGCGCTCTTTTGTTCCTCATTTGACATCATAACATTTCACAGACGATGCATTTCTGGAATCAAAAGAGCTGAAAGGCTATGAAAGATGTGGGGCATAATTTACCCCAAACAAAATCACACGATCATACATAGTCTTGCAAATAGACTTAAGATGTGTGACTAAGCTGTTTGTGTACTGACAGAAGGCCATGACTGTGAGTGTAGTATGTGAATGTATGAGTGTAAAACTGTGTGAAGCACTGTAACTTGTTTTCTCCCACTGACCACAAGTTAAATGACTTGGCTGAAAATCAAAATGGAATGCAAGGAAAGGGGAAAGGCGGGTCTCTTTGCAGCAGGGTGGAGTGAGTGTTTGGTCAGTCATACAACTATACAATTAGAGGCAGAAGTGTGACCAGAGAAAGCTGACAATATGTGGCTATGATGTAAATGCCCCAAAGTTTGTTTAACATGAGACCTCAGGTCAACATAAATAGGTAAAGGGTATAATTTGCCTTTCCGCCGTAGGAATTTTAGGCATTAAAATTCAATGTGGCTTATATGATATCTTTTTTCAACAACAAATCTTGCATAAAGAGCAGAATTAAACTGCTTTGTGGTGCATTGAGAAATCTGTTCCCTCATTCTGTTTCCCTTTTGCATAAGAAAATGAGAAATTTCAAAGTAATTCTTCCATGATACTTTCAACATCATTTCTCTTGCAAAATGAAACACAATTCTCATGCCTTTTATTACTGTATCTAACATTTACTTTAAATAGTTCTAAATGCAATTGTTTTAGTCAAATTGAGGTAAGTGTTCCATGAAGAGGACACATTTTCACATAAAAAATGAACAAAAGAATTACAGAATTTATGATAAAGAAAACCACACGCCATTTGTAATAAGAATGGCCCTCAAAAGGATTATTTGTCAGTACAGGCAACATATATTTTATGTTGGAATTCTCTGCCCTCTGAGATTAGGAATGCAGAATCCCTGAAAGGAGTAGCTCACTTTTAAAAAAACTTTTGCTGATAATTTACTCACCCCCATGTCATCCAAGATGTCCACGTCTTTCTTTCTTCAGTCGAAAAGAAATTAAGGTTTTTGATGAGAACATTCCAGGATTTTCTCCATATAATGGACTTCTTTGGGAACCAAGCGGTTCAAGGTCCAAATTAGAGTTTCAGTGCAGCTTCAAAGGGCTTTAAACAACACCAGACGAAGAATAATGGTCTTATCTAGAACCCTCGAGTCATGACTCGAAAAAAGATTTGTTCATTTTGATGAACGAGTTCGAACTGGAGAGTCGCGGACACTCATCACAGAACAGAGCACGGCGAGCATTTGTGCTTATAAAACTGAAACTTTTTAATTGATTTTTTAAATGACCGATTGTTTTGCTAGATAAGACCCTTATTCATCGTCTGGTGTCGTTTAAATCCCTTTGAAGCTGCAATGAAACTCTCATTTGGACCTTGAACTGTTTGGTTCCCATTGAAGTCCATTATATGGAGAAAATCCTGGAATGTTTTCATCAAAAACCTTAATTTCTTTTCGACTGAATTCAGCATCAGCAAAGGTTTTTTTTAAAGTGAACTACTCCATTAACGGTTTTAAATCGTCCCTTAAAACGTACTTTTTTGGAGTGGCTTTTATGTGATTCGTGTGATTACTTTGTAATTACATTAGCTTTTTATTTTTATTGCTTGTTTAGTTTTTACTGCCTGGACTGTTATGTTTATCTGTTTAATTTCATTATTTTTTATGTAAAGTGCTTTGAGATGCTACTTTTTAAAGGCACTATATCAAATAAAGTTTATTATCATTATTTATCTAGAGAAAAACTAAGATCTAAAATGTCCAAAATGTGGGAAATCTAGACATTTTTGTCAAGATCATTTTTTCCACTCAGTGATGGCCCACAATCTTCAAAGCTCTGGAAAATGAAAGAAGTGCTCACCTTGTCCAGAATGAATCTGTTCAGGTAGGGCATGTATCCCTGATTGGAAACAGGACCTTCATCATCATCTCTAAAGTGTTCCTCCAGAGCTACAGGATCATGAGGGATCTTCATCACTGTGCAGAGGTTATGGGAAAGCACCTGCAAGGCAACACTGAGATTAACACCACAACATCCAATAAAAATTCAATAATGGAAATGTATATTCAATAATAATTATCTAAATCAGTGCTCAAACACTTCTGTGTTTTTTTGTTTTTTTTTTAGACGTCATTGTGTATTTTTGGGAGAACATTTTCATGTGTTGGAAAGAATGTTGATATAATTACTTAATTAATTTGAAAATATTTTAAATATTGGATAAAGTTTTAGAGGTCTGTAATAAAGTCAACGTTTTGGAAGCGATTAGAAAATAACTCAGTCTTTAAATAGTCAGGCTGCATTTGTATCTATTGCCGTCATCTGTAACGCACTGCAATTAAGTCAGACCTCAGAAACAGAAGTTTTGAAACAAACTAGGGTTTGAAATTCTAAAGACAACGTCACATGAAACATTGTTACATTTAATTCGCGCGTCCTTAAACACTAAGAATTTCCCGCACTGAGCTATTGAAACAAGTTACAGTCCAGTGCCCAAACTTAAAGAAACAAGACAGTTAATGCAAAGGCAAAAACAAACCTTTAACTGTGACTTGGACACTTTCCCACTTTTATCCACATCCAGCGCTGTGAAAGCATGCCATATTGCCTTGAGAAGTTCGTCCCTTAGTCCCATTTTCAGAGGTAGTGTTTCCCGACTACTGTCTGCTGTCGCTCTTGATGTGAACTGTTTTCTCATGAGGTTTGACAATAGAGCGGTCACATGACCTTAGGACTGGAACCACACAACTCGTAGTTAGAGCACCACTCAGCGATGAGCGCGTGCTGCTGAAAGACTTGTCAGGAATTTATGACATCAATAGTCAGTAGGTACGGTGATAATTAACAATGTTTTTTTGTTTTTTTTTTACATAATACGTTTCTACATTTCCAAACATTTAAATGTGATATTCACGAAAGACAGTTGGGTTTGCCGGAGCGTTACCATAGAAACGGAAATCTGCCTGTTCTAGCGCCATCAGAATGTGAAGGTTTAATTACAAACATGTAAGTTAACTGTTAAAGTTCAAATAAAGCAAACTAGTCGCGTTTAGGTGAAAACGGTTTATTAAAATGAACTTATTTACAGACAAAATGAAGTTTTGAGGATTAGCAAAACCAAAGTATCTAAACAGTACCCTATCAATGTAGTTTATGTAGCACATAAGTCAAAACTATACATTATTAACTAAAAAGACATAGGATGAACTGGACAGATTGTTTTAATGCTACAAAAATAGGGTTGGAGATTTGAATGGCATATGTACATTTAAATCATTTGAGTCCAGTTTTAAGCATATTTGTCACATGGTTAAATTCAAGATTTGACAAGATTGAACAAAGCAAAGAAACGGATAAATGTAATTGCAAAAAAAAAAAAATAATTAATGATGATGTTTTGAAATATCGCTTGTTTGAAAGGATAAAATGATTTAAAAGTTACTTAAAGAAAAAACAAAAATCTTCCAACCCTACCAGGATACAGACGAACATGAATAGCAGCAGGCTTTCTGTGGCAAGCTCACCATTGCCTCCAAAGTGCTCATTTTAATGGCAATCTAACTCAACCCCCAAGTTCTGTGGCCCAACAGGCTTTTTTTTCACAGGCAGTAAGGTGCACAAATCTTCGATCAGGTACATTCACATATCAGGGCTCAATAGGGGCACACATCTCCAATTTGGTAAAGAGCACACTGCAGCGTTGAGAAAGCAAGTGCAGGGAGACCATTTTGACTCTTACCTATGGAACTTAAAGCAAGGATTAGGAAGACAGATCTATACTAAAAATGTGTCCATTATAAAGGCAATTCTGTCAAGAGATTTTGAAATGGCAAATCTAATAGATAAGGCAGATCTGCATTACATATTCAAAGGCTATTGCCAAAACAATGCAGAAGGACCCAAGCTTCAGTATAGACCATGGTACTTGTGTCAAACAGTGTAAGCACTATAAGTCACAGGACAGTCTGTGTCATCCTTCTGGCTATAGACAAAACTGTCTGTGTGCAGTGCACAATCTTTTCATAAGCACCACTGTAGTTCTCGCTCAGGATTGGTCATCTCCTTTGTCTGGAGTTCAACTCAGTAAATTGTGAGGCTAACAGAGCGGTTCATCTTCTTTCCGATGAGTCGAGAAGTTCTCGAGCTGGACTGGATTGTGGAACGTGTAAGAACACGATCCGTGGACAGAACCCTCTCCTCTGCTGCAGCCTTTGCCATCTGAGCTTTCTTTAGCTCTCTGAGAAACAAACACCAAAAATGAATTCAATCCAAAGTAGAAGTTCTCACCAGTAGGATTTAGTATAACAAGTAAAAGACTTCTTAATGTCCAGAATTTGCCTTTTTAAATGAAATAATATAATCACATACTTCTGCAAAAGAGCGTTCTTGAATTTCTCAGCATTGAGCTCTACACGCAGCTGGTCAGCACTCATTCTGGAAGCAGTCAGAAGAACGGGATGTCTGACTAGGTCAGTGGTTGAGGGTCGCCGTGTTGGGTCAGGATGGATCATAAGCTGTCAGGAGGATATATACATTTTAATCAAACATTCAAGACCCCGTTCAAAAACATAAAAAAAAAAATGTTACAGCACTACAGATTTTGTTTTTTAGAATTACTTACATTTAGGACTATTTTATAGAAGCAACCTTACCTTCAACAAGCTTAAAAATTCCTGAGAAAGCACTTGTGGAATATGGGGCAGAATGCCCTGTCGGATTTTGTGCCACTTTTCTCCATTGGTGGGAAGGGGCTCTGCTCCACAGGCACTGACTAAAGTCAGAGCAAGGGCAAATATGTCTGCTTTTTTCAGGTTACTGTAGTCCTGTGGGTAAGAACAGCTAAATTAGTACATGATATTTCACACAAGTTTGTGACTCTTCAGGAATTCTAAAGAATAATAAAAAGAAAAGGGTTTACCTCCTGAAGAACTTCATTTGCCAAGTATCTGCTGTCACCTTCTTCAACTTGTGGATTGGTAACCGTTGTAACATGACCCAGATCACCTGAAACAGAAGAGATTGTTAAAATCTTGTCAACTTCATTAAGCAATCATCTAGGCATGTAATTTCAGCATTTTACCTATTTTGTATACCACACTTGTGGTGGGCCCATCTTCTTCATCTTCAAATTCCTCAACACTTGGAACAGGTTTGCGTGAAATGAATATATTGCCTGAAAAAGAAATCCAAAATTAAAGCATAACTAAATGAAATTTTAACAATGCATCAACAAGATATTTTAGGCTAAACAGCTGTAATGATCAAATACATACTTGGCTTGATATCCATGTGAACAAGTGCTGTAGAGTGAATGTACTTCAGTCCACGAGAGACTTGCAGTAGCAGATCCTTCAACTCCAGCTCAGACAGGAAGTGTATGCGTCGATTGTTCTCAGCGATGACATCAGACAGGGTTCCACCATTGCAGTACTCATTCTGAATCAGCATGTGGTCATCTTCTGCCCAAGCAGAGTAATACCTCACAACATGGGGGTGCTGTCCAAGAACTGCATGTGCATATACCTCACGAAGTGCATTTTGCCTATTGGGACGGATAGAATTCACAGAAATAATTCGAAAACAATAAGAACCTCCATTCAATAAAGTCAGTGTTGTCGAAGACGCATTCATAAAGGTGCACTTACTCATCCACAGAGCCTGCCAGGGGCTTTTTAGAACGTTTGATTGCATAGATACACCCGTCCAACCGCTTGACGCATTTGAAAACAGAACCAAACTCCCCAGAGCCAATCTTCTCCAGCTCATGGAATTCAGATGCATATCTGGACATCATGTTATTCTCCATCATTGTGATCCTCTGTGGGGAAAACCAGTTTTTATTAGGGCAGAAAAAATACAGCAGTACTCATCTAACTAGATATTCAAGAGATTAAAGTAGGAATGCACCCAAAAAAAAAAAGCCATTTCGTGTTCTCGCCCAAGTGTTATTGTTAAAAATCCAGACTGAAACTGACCAGAAACGGTTACTTTAAAATCCAGTAAGAGGATCTTTGACAAAAAGACATCATGAAATAAAATTGACCCATTTACTTAGTAAGCGGACATTACATTACATCACTCTTGTGGTGAATCCATAACATCCATGGTGAATCCATAACAAGAAAAAACTGTTCGTCACTGTAATCTATATTAAAATCTGAAAAAAAGAAAAAAAAAAAGAAAAAACGTTCCTTCTCAGGTGACTCCCCTCCAACTGTCAGTCAGCTATGAGCAAGGGATGGAGAGGAGGTGCGCTAAAGTAAAACCCCACTTTCTATACAATATTCCAGTTCACTTGGAAATACATCACAACACTGAAGTCGGTTGCAACTACCAGTTCACAGGGACTTTTAATTTAAAGGGATAGTTTACTTAGAAATTAATTTGATATGTTTTAGCTTACCTCAAGGGCATCCAAGATGTAGGCGTCTTTGTTTCCACAGTATTTTCAATTTTGATGTTTTTTAGGTCAAACTGTTGTTGTCTATCAGTCATATAATGGAGATTTATGGGGCCCACCCTGGGTTCACGTCAAAGAGCATGCACAGAGAAGTCCAAATTAAACATGATTTAATGACTCGTAAAAAAATACACATTTATGGCCTAAAACACGAAACGAGCGGGGTTTTTGTTTTTTCCGGAAGTTTTACCTTTCACTGTGAAGATCTAAACATATTTAGATATACAGGAAATCGCAATGGAAGACGATTTCGATATATCTAAATATGTTTAGACATTCACAGTGAAAGGTAAAACTTCCAAAATCTGTGTAAACAATGAGTGACGTAGACGTGCGAGAGATCACTTCTGGCGCTTGCGCAGACCGAAGCGCCCGCACCCTCAGTGTACTTGGACGCGACTGTGATCACAAGAGGTAAAAACGATAAAAATACTTTTAATTTTCCCACACAAACTGCTTGTTTCGTGTCTTAGGCCATCAATGTGTACTTCCATTTATGAGCCATTAAATCATGTTTAATTTGGACTTCTCTGTGCATGCTCTTTGAGGTGAACCCAGGGTGGACCCCATAAATCTCCATTATATGACTGATGACAGACAAGAACGGTTTGACCTAAAAATATCAAAATTGAAATACTGTGGAAACAAAGACAACTACATCTTGGATGCCCATGAGGTAAGCTAAAACATATCAAATAAATTTCAAAGTGAACTATCCATTTAAAAATCAGTTTCAGTTCCTTTTGGTTTCTGCCTAAATGTATTTCTGTGCTTCAATCTATAAAAAGCAAAGAATTTAAGAGTACAACTCACAGCTACAATTAAGTATAAAAAAAAATACCTTTGGGGGCGGAATCAGTTCCTCTTCTATTTCAGCATCACTTGCATCCATGTCCTCTCCGCAGGAGCTACGGAATGAAAAGACATTATTAGAACGCTAGGGGCAGCAGAGAGGCCTGACTAAGCACATGGCGTGTAGTTGGAGCGAACACGAGGAGCTGGTTCCTCTCCAACTTTTTGTCTTGTAACAGAATTAGTAAACGGATTTAACGAACGGCCCTGCAACCTGTGCCACACCTGTCCAGTATCAGCATAGTCTATCATTCTATTAAAACTACTTCACAGCAGTCAGCAACCTCCTGTAGGTTAACTCGATAAAAAAAAGAAGAAAAGATAGAAAAGAAATTTAAAGTGCATTATGATCAACATACTCATTCCAGTGTGACCGTTTCCTGTTGTTTCTTTGTAGTGTTGAGGACTGCACCAGAATGGAGTCCGGGGTGAAGGGGTTGATGTTTACTAAAGGTGTCTGGTTTCGTCTTCCGTCCAGACAGGCTTTGCTCGTTGAATCCACATTCTTAAACAAGGCGACTCTCCGGTTCGTCGACCCCATCGTCCTGGCCCTCGACAACAAGCTCTGTAGATGCAAAATTAATACTTGTTTTTAAAACGCATTTAAAGTTTTAAACCACATTCCCAAAACACAGTAAAATTCAAAACAAACCGACACAGTCAAAAAGAAAGAAAACAGGGAGGGGAACGGAACACTGCACAGTTTTAAATGATGTAATGTGCTATTATCAATAGACTGATTCACTCAAGCGGTTACGCAACTTTGTACAGCAAGTCCAATATGTGTGTCACTAGGTGAACTCATCCACCTAGTAAAGGCTGGACTGCTTTTTCAAATCATAACTAGGTTAACGTTACTTTGCTTTTTGAATATTAACAATGGCAGAGGAGACATATTATACAAATGTAAACAACAAAATGTTCTCTTGCGTTATGTATTTTGAGTAGAACCAATGTTATATATTTAACATCGGTTCTACTCAAATACATAACGCAAGAGAACATTTTTCATGATTAAGGTAGCAGCTAACATGAAAACAAACCTTTGGGGTGTGAGGGGTATCAAACAGACGGAGTTTTCTGAAGGTTTTATGGGGTGGTGTATCAGGACAGTCCGGGACAGGAGAGCTGGATCCTTCCATGTCATCATGAACGTAACTCCTCTCGGGTGAACTGTCGTAAGCCTGGGGACTTTTCCTTGGCGATGGAGAGCCTTTCATGTAAAAAGTTTGTTTCGCGCGAGACGGTGAGCCAAATCCCTCCTCGTCCCAGGACTCGTCGTCGTCTCTGGTTCGGCTAAGCGGACTGCTGCTGCCCAGGTCCTCCGGCCTCTTATCGCTGCTGCGCCGCACGGACACCGGGGAGTCCAGCTCCGTGAAGCCCGACTCGGCCCCGGTGCTGTTGTTTGCGTCTTCGATGCTGTCCTCTTCGCCATCACTTGCCGAAAATTGCAACTTTTGGCGAACGGGTTTAATATTTGGAGACTTGCCGTGCCTCCGTGGGCCGAAACTCATCTTTCCAGGCAAATGTTCAGTTTATGTGAAAAGATCAAACTTAAAAACACACAACCTCAAGTTGCGTAAGAGTATAACAACCAGCCCAAAACGGCTGGAAAATCAGGCAAAGATTATGCAACTTAATTTAGATAAACATATCTAACAACACTGCTCGTGCAATGCAACAACAACCGGAACGCCGATGAACAGTCCCAAAAACGGCGATGCGATGTCCCAGGTGAAAACTGCTACAGATTGTCCGAAAAAATACCTCCTTTTGACGACTGATATCTCCGTGACAAGTCCAAACTAGTTCAGTTTAGACGCATATCGAAGCTGATAACGACGTTGAACTCGTATAAAACAAGCGTCCACGGCGGAGTTTCGACTGAAAAAATGGCTGCTCCACAAACTTCCAACTGATTTAGAAAGAACTAGAAAAAATAAATTCCTAAAAGTAACTACGCGATATTTAAGACGCCGAATTAGAAGGCAAACTTCTCAAAACATGTCAAAACACCACAAATAGTATCTTTTAACACAATAATGTTTACAAAACTAGTTTGAATGGTGAGCTACTCCTCCCACCAACACGCGTGGTCAAAGCCTTCCCGCGACCGTTGGTCATGTGACGTAATATACTCCAATGAGCGACGACTTTCAAAGTTTAAAAGATAGGAGGTTCTGTAAGTGCTACGTCAGTAAGCCCCTCCCCTGAAATGCCCACTGACTGTGACCTCAATTTGGCGCGAATGCTCTTCTTTCATCTACGAAATGGTCTCGTTTGATCATGGAGTTGATCAGACGAATGTTTTAGTGAGCTTTCACTATGGCACATTGTCTTCCGTTCTAGGTGACACACAGGAACACGTTACATTAATTGCATGGTATTATATTTGATTAAATTAACTATTTTTGTTAGTGTTTTTATGGTGGTGTAAATTAGCCACATGGTTTTGTTTTGATGCTTCTCCAGTGGCATTCACTGGCAATCAGTTAACAATACAATCACTTAAAAAGCCTGTTAGGCTAATGATGTTTTGCACACCATGTTATTGGGATTTTCCAGTATTGTTCTCAAATTATCAGGATTAACTCAGTACATAAAACCCCCAATCACAATACTGAAATTAGATACAGTACCATGTTTGGGTAGTCTCTAAAAATGTATATGGTAAATATGAAGTGAATTCCAACAGTTGTTTTGTTAAGTCTGTAAACATTTTACTGCATGATGTCAAAGAATACAATACAATTAAATACTTTTTTCATCAATATATTTGTAGACCTTTTCATAACAGTTTGCAAAAAAATAGCATAATCAAATATATACAGAAAAACTCTACTTTTAAAACAGTTATATACATATCCACACAAAAATATCTTCTTGATATATTGCATTCATGATGTCTGCATTACAAAAAACAATGATGCTTGACAGGTTTTCAATACCCAGACTTACACACACACACACACACACACACACACACCCTTGAGATGTTTAGTTCATTCTGTTATACAATGTGAGTTAATCGTCCATGCCAGGAGTTTCTCCTTGCTGTATTCTTGATGCTATTCTGATGGCTTCTTCTAGAGAGGGCTGATCACTGAGCTGATAGGGGGAAAAGTTGAAATTAAAATTTAATACAACTAAACTGTTTGCAATTGTAGCACAACTAATCATTTCAAAATTGTCCATCTTGCAATGCACAATGGCACCACCCACCAAACACAAAGTGACCCCTTTTCTAGAGAGTGACACATTGCCAGCTCTTTTGTTGGCAATAAAGGCTCATTAATCAGGAGTGAATGGAAAACCAGTCAACAAGGTTGATTGGACTAGGTTGGTCAGTTAGTTCTCCATTAGTGCAAAAAAGACAAGTGATACAATCACTAATCATAATTATTAGATGATTAAAAGCTGGAATCAGTGCTTCATTAAATAGTATTATTTAGAAGCCAGGATTAAAAAAAGAAAAAAGATTATGGCCTGGTTCCACAGACAGGGCTTAGATTAAGCCAGGATTAGGCCTTAGTTCAATTACGACATTAAGTAGCTTTTATAAATATGCCTTCGAAAAAAAAAAAACACTACTGGTGTGCATCTTGATACAAAAAAAGGCATTGACATATTTTTAGATGAACATAAATAATAATAAAAAAAATACTCTAGCTTTGGTGTTTTTTTGTTTTAAAAAAATATAATTTCTAATATAATACATAATATTAAATATTAAATACATTTGATCTGGCTTATCTTAAAATTACTTATATCATGCTGAGAAGCGTAGTGCATTTTATTTAAAATGCTTCCAAACATTAGACCTACAGAACAGTCCACTATACTAATTCGGTTGAGAGACGTACATCTTTAACACACATCCTAAAAACACTCTCAATGGAAAGGTTACAACCACCAACAAACAGTCTTTTGGAAATAATTGCATGTTCCCACCCTAAAAGTGGCTTAAAGGTTTACAGCATTAACTGGAGATTTTATTATTTATTAACAGGCAAAGTAAACACATGATTTAAGCTCTGTGACCACTCCTAACTTTGTGTGTAACGTAACACTGTCTGTGAGAGTGAGAGTGTCCATAATGCATGTGTATATGTTCTATACCTGCACAGCTATGTGTGTGCCGTTAGAGGTAGCCAGCAGCGTGACTGGGTGTGGTCTTGTGGAAACCACATGCTGTTCGTGATCCTGTACAAGTTCCCCTTCTTCTGTCTGGTATGCAGATAGATCTGGCGTCACAATGGCCACCTAAATCGCAAATAAAGTTTACAAATTAGCTCAACTTATTTGTGTATTTAGCAAACTAATGGAATCCCTAGGTAACATCACCAACCTGTCCCTCTGTACCATCTGAAGACACCATTGTGACAGAATGTGCTCCCCCTGAGGATAGCATTGCTTCATGTGCTGGGATAGTTATGGTGGTTCCCTCTTGTGTTACCATTGTAATCGTGCCTCCCATAGCCTGCATATCTTCTTGAGACAGAACCTAAGAGGGAAAAGATAAGTATTTACCTGGAAGGTAACTGCATATGTGGATCACCCTGACATACATTTTACTACACCAACAAATGTTTTACGTTTCCATTTTCCAACTGTGTACACCGGACGCAAGTGGCACGACATGACAAAAGCAAATAGGACCTATTATAACCAGTGGCATGGTGTGATGCGAAACAAATTGCTGACAGTAAACTGATGTCCCTGTTCTATTTCTCACATACTCCAAGTACCTAAGCTATTTCTGACATGAAGAACAAATGGATTTGCAACGGTCACTTAGTTGCGTCCATTGTATTGTGGTGCGACACGACAACAACAATCTTGTCTGGTGCAGACAGTGCATGTCATCACTGACCTGTTGTGTGCCATCCTGAGATATGAGAGCCACATGATGTTGTCCCATGACTTCTGAGCCTGACACCTGCTCAGACCCTGAGTCATCTTCCACCACTGATGGAGTGTACATTAACCCAGGCTCATCAATGGCCTCTGAAAAAGGTGCGATTTCAAAATTCAGATTATGAGTTAATCAATATCATTTAATCATTGCTCATTGACTAACATGTAAATGTAATGCGCCGCCTTTATGCGATTCTAATGAGATTTAGGCAGTACTGCGATTACAACTGTGAAACAAGAGTAAAGCAGTATGTCATGTACACATCTTTCGGCATTAAATAATAATCCTGATTATTGGAAATAATCACATTATTGGTCCACATGTAAATGTTGTCATTGTTTGTGACTACAGATTTAAGTAAACAGACCTGCAGGGGGCTCAAAATAAGCTTCTTGTTCCTCTTCAATTGGCTCTGTGTCATTGTGCGCTGTGCGTTTATGCATGGCTAATGTAGAAATCTGCTTGTACGTCTTTCCGCAGTGGTTACAGTTGTAGGGTTTGCAAGGCGTATGAACCACATGGTGCTTGTACAGGCTGGAGTACTCAGTGAAACGCTTGTCACAGCCAGGAACAGTGCAGACGTAAGGCTTCTCACCTAAACATGATGAGACACACTTTTGAGCTTATGGTCTGAAATTATACCTTATTTCTATACAAAATAAATCCATGCAAACTTAAAGTGTCTTCAGGTTTCATTATAATGATACTGTTATATGTTGGAAGCAGTTAAGAGCAGACAAGACAAGTACCTGTGTGGATCCTCATGTGATTTTTGTAATTGGTGGCACTTGCAAAGGCTCTTCCACAGCTGGGTTCGGAGCAGTAGTAAGGCCTCTCACCTGTGTGAGTACGGATGTGGACTTTACGGATATTGGAAGTGGTGAAAGATCTCCCACAGCCTTCAAATGGACATTTAAAGGGTTTTTCTCCTACAAAATGAAATGTTATGCAATTTAAACAACAAATTTAAAAACAATGTATCAACATCAAGTCAGATGAAACCCTTATCAGAGATGAGGTAAATATGAAACCCACCTGTATGTGTTCTTGTGTGTTTTTGTAAGTCTCCAGAGGTTTTAAAAGACTTGAGGCAGTTAAGTTCCAGACAGCGATATGGTTTCTCTCCAGTGTGTGTTCTGACGTGACTCTTGAGACCATACCCTGAAGAAAGCGGAAAGAAAAATAAAATGCTTGTACAAATAAATTGGAGGACAATAGAAACAAGCTTGTGAATACAATCTTTACCTGTTGCAAACTTTTTGCCACAACCTATATGTTCACAAATGTATGGTTTATCCCCAGTATGCGATCTTTCATGTACCTACAAATATTTGGAAAACAACATTTTCAAGAAATTAACTTCAAAAATTACAGCAGAGACAAAGGACACATCTGAACAGAAAACTTTTAGAAAATCTTCTCTCTTGCACAATTTCACCTTCAGATGGTGAGCAGTAGTATACAGTTTCCCACATCCCTCATGTTCACATCGGAAGGCCTTTTCCCCAACATGCTGGATTCTAGGTGACCGGCTGTCTTGACCCTGCAGTACAATCTGAATACAAAAAGTGGGGCACGGCTTCATTAACATGCAACGCATTCATTTTATTAGATACTTATTTAATAAATAGATAAATAGAGACGGTACCTGCATATGCACACTGCCATCAGAGTCTCCTCGACCAAGTAACCCGGTGCTACATTCTGTGGCCTCCATCTACAAAAAGCCACACATTTTAAAATAGATTTGTAGTTACATTACATAAAGACAAACCCTTTCTTTAAATTTACAAACAATTTAAGAGTAACGCAATACATTTATAAGTTTAAATCGGTTTAGTATTCCAATACATGTTTGTTTCTGTTAGAGTGGGTTAATTAAACCATATAAACAGAATAAATAAAAAGAATGCAGAATAAGTGACAGGGCATTGATCTTAACCTTAGTAGAGTATTGCTCCAGCACACTGATGGTCTCAGCATCAATTGTCCCATCCGTCTGTAAGTCTGCTACAGTACCATCTGCTTGGATGGCCAGGATGGTGTTGGATGGAGGCATATGCTGAATATATGCAGTGGTGCCATCCTCCAGCTGAACAGCCTGTAAACCGCCCTGATCATATGTTTCTAAAAAGATAGAACATGTGGAGATTTTCTAACTTGATATCATCATAGCGAATCTAACATTTAAACTGATTTTTTTTTTTTCTTCTAGTGTCTTTAAAGGCCAATTCACCCCTCACTGACAGACGGCAACAGTCTGTTGAGTCTGTTGGCATCTGTCGGAGCTTGTTTTCACCAACTGAACATGCTGAATAGGAATTAAAATGTCTGAGAAGCGACAAGTTGTAGTCACAATACACAGTAGTAGATCTGAGACAGACCTTTGGGTGCATGAATGTAAGCAGTCGTTCCATCCTCTAGTTGCACAGCTTGCCCATCTTCTAGTCTCAATCCTTCTCCACCTGAAAAATAAAGGTTAAAGCATAAAGGCAAATGTATGGTCTTTAAAATACAGAAGTAGTCTGCGTTTTATCAAAATAGTCCAATTAGACAGTCAGTGATCATAGAGCTGCATCCATTAGAAGGAAATCCATATGAAATACCTGTTTTAGACATTGGTAGGTGCTGGACGTAAGCAGCAGATCCATCCTCCAGTTGAATCACTTGCCCTTCCATTAATTTGTTTTCTGTGAAAGAAACTATAATATGCTGTAAGATTTGAATGGTGACTGAGCAAGAAAATTTGTGCATGCTTTGTAACCACACAAATGTTTGTTAGTAAGATGAATGAAATACAGAACATCTGGACATTTTGTATCAGAAGAAGAACTGAATTAGCTAATGCATGCCAAAAAGTACACATTAATGTTTAGTTACATTACCTTTAGGGCTATGTTGGATGTATGCTGTGGAGCCATCGACCAAAGTCACCGCCTGCAAGCTCACTGTGTCCATTCCATCCATGTTGTCATCTGTGTGGGAGCAGTTGACCATTATGGGTCTATATTGCACAATCTACAAATTGTAATAAGGTTACAGAGATTTTATACATATCCATCTCACCTCCAACTGTTACTGCCTCCGTCAGACAAAGGGTGACCTGCTGCGGGTCCCCATCAATGCTGTGAAACTCCATGCCCTGGGTGTCTCGATTCACCTGGGCTAAGAGCATGATCAGCCTGTACAAACCAAGCAATAACCATCAGTGATTTTGTGTTAAAACCCACAGGTAATCAAAGGCCTGAGATAATTTACTTTCATGGTGGGTTTTGAAATACTCCTGTCATTTTACAAAATTTAGACAGTGCATGAACTAAATTTATTATAATTTAGCTATATTTAGTTTACAAACTGCAAAAACACATTGAAAAAAGTGACAGGATATTACATTTGTAATATACCCTTTCTGTATGACCTAATTTTTAAAGATTTTAACATATTAAAATATGTTATAATAGTGAACCTGACCCCTACTGTACTATATTGTTCAGAAGTGTACGTGCATTTCTTAAACCAGCATATATTTTTTTGTCCTAAAACTTTTTAAATATGCTTAATTTAATCATTACATAAACATATTATAAATACTAGTAAAAATCAAGTAGTGACAGTGTTATTCAGATATCAACTATTCCCCAAGTAATTTAGTTCTGTTAAAATAACTTCTATTAATATTAAACATGATAACTGCTATAGACTCTAGTGTCTATTTAATAGTGCTAGGAAAATTGGAATAGATTATTACAGCAACAACTATACTAGTCAGAGGTGATTACGTGAACGACAGATCCCAAAAGATTCAATGGCAAAAATGTGTCATCATGTGCATCGCACGCATCAGGAACAACAGAATGCGTTGACTATTTAAGTAATATTTAAATAATAATAATTTGACAAAGGTACTAGTAAAATACATAATAGACAGTGGTTATTGTATGGAATAAATATTATAAAGGCTTGGCCCAGAATATATAATTCTTAGCATTCTGCAAAGAATCTATTTCTCAAATAGTGCAATAATGAAAATGTTGTTAATGCACGTGTATCCAATTCATGTATGTGCTAACGCGGGAATTTCATTGCTACTGTCCATTTTAACCAAATAGCTAAAATTTCTTAAGAATATAAGAAATATTACGAAAAATGTCGGGGATGAAAAGGCAGTCCGGGTAAAGTTGCTCACAAGTTTTTAGTTTTATTAGTTGACAGGAGGACACCTGTCATGCTAACTCGTCCTCACATGTTAGCAAATATGCTAAGTTACAGTAAAGCTCGCGTTTTAGTTTGGCTGTTTCCTAACGTTCCCGTTGAGATTCATACAACTATACCATTTCCCAAACTATCCCAAAACAATAATGTCCTTTAAAGGCGTTTAACATGAACAAACAGCTGTTAGCCAGTATTGAGTTCGTTGCTGCGGTAAATTGACAATCACAATCGGGACGTTACAATGTTTCAACCGATTACAACCCTGGTCCAACTGCCTTCAATAAATAAAACACCGCTTCCGATGCATTTTCACTATTTTATTTCGTTTTGCATCCCACTTTGACTTCCACCACACTTCCACAGCCGCACTTTCCGGCTAAGCGGCGTCTGAGGAAATAAGGCACACTGGGTAAAAACACATTTATATACTAACCTCCGAAAATTTTCCAACAATCCCTTCGTTCGACCACCATGCACCAGGGCAGGAAACGCTATGCAGAAAATTCAACCCCAGAACCTGAATAACGGCAGAATGATTCTAATGATCCGTAATACGTTTATGCGATTGGCTGAAGGAGGCTGTTGACGCGCTCCCATTGGCTGAACGCCAGTCCATGCGAACTCGTGCTGCCAGAAATTCATGTTCAGGGGCACCTTAGGGACGCCATTCGCGTCTGTCGGGTTTATTGTTCAAGCGTGAATAAGCAAATCTAGCACAGCAGCATCTGGGCATGATATATTCATTTGGCGGATAGATGCCACGGGTGTTGTGTACATTTCTTCGAACGCCATAACTTGACCAGTGGTTTTCTTGGTTTTATAAGAGCACATTTTTACAGTGTGTCACAAAAAGCTTGGTAGCCATTTTGAATTGCATTATGTCATGGTCGGAGTGAGGATGCATGGGCAATGCAGTGCAGAAGAAAGGCTCCACTTTTTTCAGTTTTTTCTGAAGGAGAACATGGAGTACCCTGTTTGAAATTATGAAGTTTTCTATCTGAATGGCGTACCATGCTTATCTTTATATTACATTTTATATGCCAACATTTTGAATGCCTTTTCAATGCATTCACAATGTTTTGATTATATATGACTCCATTTGTTTGATGAAAAATACAGTAAAAACAGTAGGAATATTTTGAGTTATTATTGCAATTTAAAATAACTGTTTTAAAGTATTAGAATAACTTTTAAAATATTTATTAGTATTTATACTAAGTAGTGTGACGACAAAGTTGAATTTTCTGCAGGTTGTACTCCAGTCAATCTAGTGTTTTCTCTGCTGTCCGGAGTGCTACTTTTTTTTTTTTTTTTTTTTTTTTTTTTACATTTTTAACATTTCTATTTTAGTCTGTCAAAGTTAGTTACAAAAAAAACACATGTATTTTTCATTAGCTTTTCTCACCTCAGTCAGTGTCCTTTTCACATTTGAGCCTCGTGTGGAAGAGAGGATGACAGCAGTCTATTTTTGGATTGAGTCTCTCATTGGGATATGCTGGGCATCATAGCTCCGAAATCAGTTTCAGGTGACTCTTTCTGGTGCTGGATCTCAAATGACATTTTTCTCAAAGCCATCAAACACATTTTTAAAAGTTTCATCTTTTATACTGCAGCCTCATTAAATGTGCTTTTCTAGTGTTTCCAAGATATTTAAGTAGCCTACATTTTACTTCCATGTATATTGTGTAGAATACTAAGAATATAGTGCCTGACATCTGTCTCGAAGATGTTCATGAATCTGAGGACCAAAAGACTGATATATAACTTTGATATATAACTATAACTTTGTTTATCCAATCTGAAAGCAAGAGAGCAGCAACCTTCAAATCGCCACAACGTTGCCATTGATGTTGGCCATAGTTTATGCACCTCAAAAGTTGTTTCATGTTGTAATATATATTTCCCTCATGGCCAACTGGAATTGATGGATAATCATTGCCATTATGTAGCAAAACAGCTTTAAAACTGTTTATACTGTTGTATCTGTCATATATAGTTACCTACCCGTTAGCATATCTTGAAAACTAGAGCCATCAACAATTCTAAGCATAATTTTTGTTCAAAGTGACCCAGAATTAGTCAAGTTTTACTACATTTATTTCAGAAGCATTGACTGTAGTATGTTTACCAGTGATATTAAAGCAACAATTTGCATGTTTTAATCTTTTTTTTATATTATTTTATGCGCCCGATTAGAGAAACACCAGTCTCCAGAATGATCCTATTCCCTTCAGACATATAGACCATGTTCCCAACTGCACATCAGATGCTCTCTGTCACCACTAGATGGATGTAATGGCATTCTAATTGTTTAAGGCTGGTCAGTGACTCACTATGGCAACCTCAGTACACAATAGAGACAGAGATCCATGTTCAGTGGATTATTCAAACAAAACTTGCTACAAGTTTGCAAGTGTGTTCTTGGAGTCAAGAAAGGTATGAATACGTTTTAATTGTTTTTGTATGCATTTACATTCAAAAAAAGAGTTGTGTGTTGACATAAGCTAGTCAGAGGGGTCTTTAAGTCAACTAACAGAAAATTCAATTGTGTTGCAGGACATTTGATGCGATAAACAATGTCATCTCAGGTATCTCCCAGCCAAAGTGTCCTTTCCTTGTTCATGGGTAAAAGCAGGAATATCACCTTTATTCTGGACTCATCTGTGGGAATGAATGGCTTTTTGGGATCAGTGAAGAATCTTATCATCCAAACCTTAATTACTAAAGCTTCACTCAGAGACTCGCTCTTCAACATTATCAGCTTTTCATACAAGGTAAATGTACAATGAATCACAGTGAACCCGTCGCAAAAGGTTACTTATATATTCTAGTTTATTAAGTGTATGATATTTGTCAATGAATTCTCCATATTGATGGTGCTCTAAGTTTGTTTGCTAACCGTTTTAAAAACAATTTAATCATTATTTTTATCTTAAATGGTGGAGTTTATTAAAGTCAGCTTGAAACAGAAGCAGCAAATGTCTTTTCTTCCCTAGTGCCTATTTGGGCGGGGTCTGAGCCATTCGACCATGATGGTAGGTGACGCTATCGGTTACCAGGGTTTTTATCGTTTTTTAACGCAGCGGTTACTTCCCGGCATGGTAAAACAGTGCGGTATTGCGAGAAACTCCTCTACTACCGAGCTAAAAACACACGTAATCAATACTGTTTTGTCGTGGGAAACCTACCAACATGGCGGAAAGGGGAGGGGCACTGTAAAATGACGTCAACTCCTCATTGTCAATACGTGATGTGTATCCAAGAGAAACGGCTTCTCGAACAAGAAAAAATGTAGGGCTGGAATTGATTTTGTACGGAGCCCCAAAAGGGACATGGTGGTGAGGGAAAAAAAATATGAGATGGAAGGAAAAATAATAAACAATGTTTTTGCGTGCTTTTGCGAATGTTTTACGTTCCCCCGAAAAACTTTGCGTTTGCTCGCAAAACCTTTGTGTTCCCCCGCGAAAATGTGATCCCACGTAAAACCTTTGCAAACTTTTTAGCGAGAAAATGCAAAGTTTCTAAGGGGAACGCCAAACATTTGCAAGAGAACGCAAAAGTGGTGAAATTTTTCCTCCGTGCATATTATCACCCTTTAGGGCCTCAGTAATTCTGTCCATCAGGAATTGATTGGATGATTAGATTGTTGTAGTTTGATATTGTTTGATCTTATGTAAGTGACAATTTGTCCCGCCCTCACACCAGTAAACACGTAATAAGAGAAGAAATGAGATGTCATTTCAAGAGGGAAGTTATTTTGTTTAAAGACGACAAGGGCACACAAATTAAAACAAAGTATTGATGTGCACAGATAAACTTACAATATTCCATAAAAACTAATATATATTTCACTAGGCAACACCGTGGTCTTCTCACATGATGCCCTGCACTCCTGATGTAGTCTATGAAGCCTTGAGCTGGATCCATACTTTACAGACGAGTCCTGGCAGAGACCTCCACACAGCACTGGCCTTAGCCTTCTCTGACCCTGCCTGTCAGTCTGTCCATTTGGTGACCAGTGGTGTCCCAGACAACCCCACACAATGCTTGGGTTCATTATCAACCTTGGTGACAAGGCCTGTCCATACATTTTACATATCTGACAAGACTCCCATGAACACCGACATATCCGACTTCTTGCAGTGCATCACCTCCACCACTAGAGGAAGCTGTTATGTGATGTCTCTCAACTCTGCTGGCAATGTGGACCAGGTTTGTATGGTGACTGACCACCACTTATACTAGCCATCCTTTATTAGTTAATCGGATATTTGTCACCATTTAATGTTTTATAATATGTCAGATCAGTTTGTTGCATTCAGTCGATGACCTGATTCAAAATCCAGAGGAGCCAAGGCATTCAGTGGACTTCTATCAGGTCCCATATCACAACTGCACAAGCTGTGTCTGTTCTACACCCTACTGGTATGCTTTAATTTAACTAAACTAAAGAGAGAAAGAAATAAAAACAATACATAATTATATTGTGGGAAATATATATCTCTACAGGTGTTCCCCTATGAATCCTTTTAGCCCAGTATCATGTGTGTCTGGAAGGGTAATGCGAGGTGCTGCGCTGTTTTGCGGCTGCCGTGTGTTAGCCAGGAAAGAGATAGACGGGTTTTATTACCTGGGGACAATCATAAATCAGGTACTGAGAAAAAAAATGTTATGAACATGCACTACCAGTTAATAGTTTTAGGGTCTGTCCGATTTTTTTATGTTTCTGAAATGAGTCTCTTATCTTTAACAAGGCTGCATTTAAAAAAAAGTTGAATAAATTAAAATCTGTTTAAAATAACTCTTTTCCTTTTCAATATATTTAAAAATGTAATTCATTTTTTACCATCAATGCTCCAGTCTTCAGTGTCACATGATCTTTCAGAAATCATTCTAATATGCTGATTTGCTAAAAAAAAATATTTCTTATTAGTAGGGCTGTCAAACGATTAATCGTGATTAATCACATCCAAAATAAAAGTTTGTGTTTACATAATATATGTGGGTGCACTGTGTATAATTATTTTGTATATAAATAAATAAATACACACATGCATTTATATTTTAAAAAAATATTATTTATATATAAAATATTTATATTTATATATAAATTATATATAAATCTATATACAGTATTAAAATATTTCTTAAATATATACAAGCATGTGTGTGTATTTATATAAAATAATTATACACAGTGCACCCACATATATTATGTAAACACAAACTTTTATTTTGGATGCGATTAATCGCGATTAATCTTTTGACAGCCCTACTTAGTAGCATTGTTGAAATCTGTTGTGCTAGTTAATATTTTAGTGAAAACGTTTTTATTCAGAATTTTGATGAATAGAAAATTAAAAAGAAAATCTTTTGTAACATTGTGAAAGTATTTAATGTACCTTTTGATCAATTTAAAATTAAAAATATCCTTGCTTAAAGTATTAATTTCAGGGAAAAAAATCCAACTGACCCTAATGTTTTTGAAATGTAGTGTCTTTAAATATAATAAGCTCTTTAATTCAAATTCAATTCAGAATTTAGTTCAAATCTAAATGCATAATCATACTTTGTTTAATATTTCCCTCAAACTCTATAGGGCAGAGGAAATACTTATATGGTAGAGTTTGATAAGTTTGGACCTAAAGGAAATACATTTAAGGAAACATTAAATACAGTTCAACCAACCTGCCAGCCTGATATAGTTAATCTTGCCAATGCACATGGGCACAGTATAGTACCAGGGGACACCGTTTTAGCACCATGGGAGCAAGATCTGAGAAGATATGGGCCTGGAAGAGTCGTCTCTGGTATGGAGCCAAGAAATCCACTTAAAAGTATGATTATTTTTTTTTTGTTAAAAATTTGAAACCAATACTACATCAAGAGTGGTCTGTATAACTGAATAAACCCAGGGGAATTTGCTCAGATCTGTTGTCTCATTAAAGGTGATGAAGGTCTTTTGGGACTTCAGGTTCTCTTTTGGAACGGGATGACAATGCATGTCCCCAAGGAGCTTGCAGTATGGATTCCAGCCTCTCACCATGAGCAAATTATCAAAGACCTCCAGCATTATTCATCTAGGCCATGTTGCTACAGGGCTTCCCACTGCAGCACCATGAATTGTTTTGAATTGCCATGTCACCAGTGCAACCACAACAGCCTGTTCCCCATTCCACTGCTCCACTGTCCAGTCAAGAGATGCTGGCCAATGTTCATGTCACCTCCACTACTGAACAACCAGAGGAGAGATGAGCTGGAAAGGAAAGTTGATCTCCAACTGAAAGAACTATGGAGCTCTCAACAGACAAAAGTGCCTTCATCTTCCTCATCATCAACCTCTGACTCAGATGAGAATGAGGTGGATACTACAGCTGAAAAACACAGGCCTCTGGGGTCAGGACTGGTGAGCCGCTCAATAAACACAGATATTTCCTGTCTGAGAAAGCCATACAGTCAAACTGATTCCAGACCAGCCTGGAGATACTGGAAAAGCGGTTCTGCAGAACCACAGCACAAGCAACCAGGTAATATGACAAAATATTTACAATACAGCTATACAGCTGTCAAAATGGACAAATACAATACATTGTAAAATTGGTGAGCATAAGTAAGATACTTCTTTCAAGAACATTTGAAAAATATTAAGACCCCAAATATTTTAATGGTATGGCAGACATACAATTTAGAAACATTTGGTCTAAATTCAAGTGCCAGAATTTTTTTTTTTTTTTTTCATCTTTAAAAATTGATTTAATTTGTACTGTCTGTGTGTTCTTGGTATTTCAGGAAGAGCAGTCAGGTGTTCAAGTGTAACCCATTCTTGGCCAAGAGACACTGGGAGCTCTGCAGATAACTCTATGACCACCAATCACAGCTCTGTATTTAAACTGGTTCGTGAATCACCAAAACGAGGAGTCAATATGAGGGACATATTTGCATCAACGGAACCGAACTCATCACCATCACCAATATCTGTAGCAATCAGCACAAGGCCAAATAAACTGATATTAGTTCCACAGCCAAAGTTCAAAGTATTATGAGAATTGCCAGTCAGCTTTTGCTGATTTTTTTCGTTCTTCAGGGATGATTTGTTTGTTTGTTGTTAATTCAAACATCTTATGGCTGTGTAGTAATTGAATAGAAAATACTATTAATGTAAAATCATGCAAAAGTTTATTAAAATGCAACATCTGTAAGACGTATAAAGAAAGTAAAGATTAAATGTACATTTTTGTCTTGCTGTATAATCTCATTATGGCTTCTGTGCCACAATATAAAAATGAATGAATAAATATTCCTGAGTATTAGTAATAACACTTATGAACACTCATGCAGAAATCAAGAAAAGTCAGTGCATTTTAACATTTTAGTGCAAGTCCTCAATTAAGGCATTCATTTTCACCCATAGTTCAAAGGTTGAATGTAAGGCTCATGCTTTCTCCTGCGTTGATGTGGACAGTTTTTGTCTCTGGCCTTGTGTCCTGCATTGCTGCAGTGATGGAATAGGTTCCTGGAGGCACTTCAATAAGAAAATCCTCTGGTTCTGATGAACCCTTCAATAAAAAATGTAGATGAACCAAAGGAGTTGATTTGCAGAGCAAATATGGCCTGGCTATCTGCTCAAAATCAACTTTTGTATACTGTCTTCACAGTTTAGGTTCACACACACACACAACATGACAATAAAAATATGTAATTCAGGTCAATACTTACAATGTCTCGTTGGATGGCTGCAGTGGCATTCTGTTTCCGGTCTGCAGTCCTCAACATCTGATGTGAATGGTAGCGACAGATGTGTTCTCGTTCACTGGGCTGAGCCAGGTGAACAGTCTTATAAAACTTCTGTAAAAGAAACATAGGCTATTTCTTCTCATTCATATCTCAACACAGTTGAAGTAAATTAATGAATAAAGAATTTTCCCACCTGGCACTGTCTCGTAGTTTCAGACATGTACTCCACTATTGTACTAAAAGCATGGTCCAAGTTTGAATGGGAAATTTCTCTCTGTTACACAACACAAGACAAAAAGAATTAGTGTCAAGGGAGTTATTTATTGACCTAACTTGTGTGAATTGAGTTTACTCACTTCGTAGCCCCTCTCATAAGGATTGAACATGGGTGATGCTGGTTTTGGTCTTGCACTTGAGCTGCTAACAGACCGTCTTTTTGCCTTTTCCAACACTTCCTGCCCGAGTTTAGATGAACGGCGCAGGGAAGACTCCAGCCAGGATTCACTGGCCATGTAAACAAGGGGAGTGCACTGGAATTACATATGACCAACATTAAGCTGCATTTTATATAGCCTAAACAAAGTGATTCTCACAACAATTACGTCATAATACGAAAAACTATTTGCAGCCGAGCTATAATTCTGATTTTGAACGTATTTGCATTCATAAAAAAACATACTAGCCTACGACTTAGAGTGGTAAGCGCATTGCAAACATTTACCAAGAAAATGTCTGTATTTTAAACGCGAAACTTACGATTAAATGACGCCCAAAATATCAAGTGTTTGTTCGTTTAACTGTATAAAATGATCGCCACATTTAGTCCAAAACTGTTGCTGCTGTAGCGATGGGTGTGTGTCGCTAAAAGTGAAAGTTGCATTTCCTTCTCACCCACGTGTTGCTGGGAAATGGAGTCTTTTGTCAGTGGTTTAAACGTGACACAAACAAGAGAACCACGTTACATCAATTTCCTACTTTTTAAAAAAACCTTCACAGCGAAATTTTATGATAATAATAAATACTTCCTTTGTTGTGCGTTAGAACCACAGGCATTTAGTCATATCATTTATTGAGGCCAAATATATAAAATAATTTATTGGGGCCAAACATTTAAAATAGTTAGGAAATAGGCTATATAGAGCCTATATATATCCTATATATACATAGCATATATAATATTTTATACTATAAATAATATATATTTTACATATATCAATCTCATGACTTTTTCGTTCAGCACTGCGGAAGGCATTAATAAAGACTTAATAATGGTTTATTGTATTTTTTATTTTTTATTCCAGTTCTTGAATACAGCGCTGAACGTTCTCTATTGTAATGCATGTTGTCTCTACATTTACGTTTACATTTATTCATTTAGCAGACGCTTTTATCCAAAGCGACTTACAAATGAGAATAATATAAGCAGTTAAACAGGACAACTATATGCAAGTGCTATATGACCCCTTAGTTTAATCTAATGCAGTACAAGTCAATTTTTTATTAAATAAACAAAATAGAATAGAAGAGAGTGTGTTAGTATAACAGGATCAAGTCCTACCGAAAAAGATTTGTCTTCAGCTGTTTCTTGAAAGAGGCTATATTGACTCAGCAGCTCTGGTTGAGTTAGGCAGATCATTCGACCAGCAGGGTCAGGGAACAGTCATGGTTAAGGTCAGAGAAATAGATTTTGTGCCTCTTTGAGATGGTACCACAAGACGACATTTGCTTGCAGAGCGCAAGTTTCTGGATGGTACATAAGTCTGAAGTAATAAGTTTAGGTAAAAGGGAGCAGCCAGTGGTTGTTCTGTAGGCTAACATCTGTGACTTGAATTTAATGTGAGTGTGCGCTTGGAGTTGTGTAGCATGCTCTGTTAGGGAGGGCCTGATCCTCCTAATGTTGTGCAAAGCAAATCTACATGACCGGGCAGTTCTAGCAATGTGGTATGTGATGTTCAATTGATCATCAGTTACAACCCCAAGGTTCCTGGCTGACCTTGATGGAATTATGGATGACGAGCCTAGCTGAATGGTGAAATTGTGATGAAGTGTTGGCTTGGCCGGGACCACAACTATAGCTCTGTCTTTGCAAGGTTTAGTTGAAGGTGGTAGTCTTTCATCCAGCCAAAAACATCTGTCAGGCAGGCTGAGATAAGAGCAGCTACCGTCGGATCATCGGGCTGGAATGAGAGGTAGAGTTGTGTGTCATCAGCGTAACAGTTAATAGGAAAAGCCATGTTTCTGAATCACTGTCATGTAGATGGAGAAGAGAAGTGGTCCAAGCACTGAGCCCTGAGGCACCCCAGTAGCTAGATGTTGGGTCTTCACACCCCTCCATGACACCCTAAAGGACCCATCTGAGAGGTAAGACTTGAACCATTGGAGTTCGGATCCCGAGATGCCCTTCATCTTTAGGACTGACAGGAGTATCTGGTGGTTAATTGTGTCAAAGGCAGAAGGATGAGAAATAAGGATTTGGAAGCTGCTCTTGCCAGTCTCAGAGCTTCATTTACTGAGAGCAGGGCAGTCTCAGTTGAGTGTCTGCTTTTGAAACCAGACTGATTGTTGTCCAAGAGGTTGTTCTGTATAAGAAAGGAAGAGATCTTGAAAAAAACTCGTTCAAGTGTTTTCGCAAAGAATTGAAGAAGGGATACCGGTCTGTAATTTTCAAGACGTGCTGGATTTAGAGTGGGTTTCCCGAGTCTGCTTATAGGGATACTCCACCATTTTATTCATATTAAACTATGTTATTCCCTTAACTAAGACGAGTTGATACATACCTCTCTCATCTCAGTGCTACTCAATCGCTCTGGTGCGCGAGACAATTTTAATAGCACTTAGCCATCCCAGCTCATTCCTTAGGATCCAAGCAGAGAAGCGACCAAACGAAGTGCTCTCCGCCATATGTTATTTATCCACTTTATACACTTAGAAAAACACAACGTTTTATTTTGTGTCACCATTTTTGGTCGAGTTACACTACTCCTGTAACTGTATTTAAATAGGGACAACGTGGAGGTGTTTGGTCGCTTCTCTGCTTGGATCCTAATGATGAATGAACTGGGCTACGTTAAGTGCTAAAAGTGTCTCGCGCGCCAGAGCGATTGAGTGCACGCATTGAGACGAGCGAGGTATGTGTCAACTAGGGAATAACATAGTTTAATATGAAAAAACGGCGGAGTATCCCTTTAAAAACTGTGGGAAAGGTACCAGTGTGAAGAGAGGTGTTTATGATGTGCGCGAGTGCGGTTACAACTGAGGAAGAAATGGCTTTAAGTAGAAGTCTCTGCCTTGACAGTGTTACAGTAATAACACATTTTTTTTTTTTTATTATTAATAAATAAACGAGTTAGAGTTATGAGACTTTTAGTTCCTTCCCCAGCTGGCATTTTACTGTAGCCTACGTCGAGTCACCGTTGAATCAACGCAGGTGCCAGTGTTGGATCATTGAATTTTGAGGTTGTAGCCTACAAATAATTTTGATTTGACGTACAACTCAAAAATTGTTGATATTTCTATGTTTCAACTATTTGGCGTTCAACGTTGTTTTGACGTTGAATTCATGTTTTTTCATAAACTGACATCATTTCAACAACATTTAAACGTTCAGTGTCAGTCAAATGCCAGCTGTGTCTTTTCATAATGTCTGGATATCAGAAAAATATCAAATTATCTCTCAAAAATCCAGAGAAGCATCTTTACAAGATTTGAATCCTATTTCACCAAAAAATGTAATGCATGGAAGCATCTTAAAGCTTAAAGGATTACTACGGCAGATGCTTAGTAATTATTTGACATCCATGGCCAGTCATAGATTAGTGTGCAAACACATGTGACATGTGAGAAACACAGCATTCATCAACAAACAAGTAAACAATTAGTGTTCCAATACTTAAAAAATATAAAAGATGCAACAAACTCATTGAATGCAGCTGAGCTGGAAACTGTTATTTGATTGTGTCTTCACATCCTGTGGCTGCACTGTGATTTATCAAACATTTATAAGGCATTCAGGAAGACAGACCATAGATGGGGAAAAAAAAGTAGCTGCATTGAATGCATATCCGTAAATACAGTATATATAAATCGTGACACTGTTACCACGGTTTCAGTGTTATGTAATGAGGAAACCTTCCTATAGCATCCTTCTAACACTTCCCACACAGTGTAACAGGCTCTCTGCACTGAGATTGAAACCCACAGTGCTCATCCAAGTGAACAGAATTCATTCAACCGTACTGTTGGGACCACGTGCCATCTATAAACACCATCTGCTGCATCACGCTCTGTTTATACACACACGTTTATTCTGCATTGGTGCTCAAGA